AATCCTTATCCTATACGATAATAAATATTTTTCGTATACTTTTTGGGTTTTCTTGTTATGTTGAGACTATATTTATTTTACATTACATTAAAATGCCAAAGTGGTCAAAAAATTAAAGAATACAATATAGAATAAAATCTTTATTTATAAAAATATTACAAGAAATGTTATATGTGTTACAAGAAATATTAATAATACAAGCCAAGTGTACTATAATTTAGTTTTCTTAATGTTGTGGCAAGAACTGGTCAGTATTTAAATAATTGTTTTGTCTTAGTATGTCAAGTTTTATGTAAATAGAAGCCTAATTCTGCAAAAGGCCTTTCACTATAATTTTATTCTCAAAATTTGCAAAGAATTCAAACATTGGTATATAACATTCAAGATTTTTTTAGAAAGCAATGAATCTAAAGATAAATCCCTAGAAGAAAAAATAAGTACATGCTTGTAATAAATTTATTCTATAATTACATAAGCGAAGCAATCAATGGGGAAAACCAATTGCTTTTTTCACACATACTCTCACAGATTCAGAATGAAAACATGCAAATGCATTGAAGTATTAAAAAAATGCAGACATTATCTGGTAGGAAAGCAATTCAAACCAATCACAGATTAAATCACTATTTTGTTTATATAGAATGCTGGCATATATAAAATCTGACAAGGAGAACTAGCTTTACTTCACAAGAATTTATTAATTATCTCCACTCTAAAAGAATATTTCAAGTAGAACAACACCATATAACCATGAAGGAAATGGTTAAGTTGAAAGATACAATGAGTTATATAGAAATTGGTGAATCTAGCATTGAAAACCAAATATTTAGACATCACTAAATGAAAAACTGCTTTACCAGGAGCTCTGTACTATATAAGAAGTTTACTATTGAATTGTTATATTATTGAATCATGATAATGATGAAGATGAAGTCCAAATAACACATTAGAGAATTCCACTACTAAATCAATGCCAGATGTGACAGAAAATTTACCTGTTCAAAAACCTGATGATAATTATGAACCAAGATTGGAAAATTCAGATTTTCAATCTAGCTGTAAATCAGCTGGAGCTAAAAATAAACCAAGATAGTTGCAATATTTTGTTCACAAATAGGGAAGGGTAAATGTAGTATAATTTAGTGTTCTAAATCTTGTGACAAGAACTTGTCAGTAATTAAATATTTTTTTTTTAATTCTAATGTCAAATTAAAGCCTAATAAGCAACAGACAGCTGTCAGACATTCTGAGTTCTTTGTAGTACTTACATCCTAATCTAATAACACACACTACCAGTGGTCAGTGAGAACTCTTACTGTCTGGCGTTCTACTCACAGAAAAACAGAACTCAAGAACTCTGCTAAGTTGGAAACAGAAAAATTAAATGATTTAGTTCTAGAAAGAACTTTATATACATTTATATGATAATATTTTAGTCATATTTAAACCTATAAACCCAACAGTTAGCTCTAAGATTCTAGGATCTAGCACTATAAAGATGGAAAAATAACATTAAAAATAAAAAAATATGTAAAGTATTACCTACTTACAATAATAATATGAAGTATTTTACAAAGTTACGTTTCCAAACTCTATCTTACCAGTAACTCTTTTCTACTAATATTTATATATTTATTGAGAGACATATTAAATACATTTAGATTTAGGTTGTTCTTTTGATTAAAAGTACATAGATGAGACAAACCATGATAATATATGGTACTCTAAGACCAATCTCACTCACAAGAGAGAGACAGATCCCTCCTCGCACTTAACGGCAAGCTCATGGACCTCTCCATATGATAGTGTAGTCATGGTCTGCTAATCTAATCCAACTTTGAAACAGGCACACCTGTAGAAATTATGTCGAACCCTCTCTAAGGTGATGTGATTTTTTAAGATAGTTGTTGAACCACCACCTACAAAATAATTCAAATAGTAAGCAAGTCTGATTTTATAATTAACTAATTTTATAAGTAAAAGGTCACATACATACATATATTGGCATAATAGTTCTTACCTGGTGCTGGTAAAAACAAACTCAGAAGGGCTGTTCTCGTAATACCGGTATGTCCAACATTAATTATATCATCCTCTATAACCCCCCTTTCAGACGAGGATACTGTATCTGAGATACGCGTATCCGAGACGCAGATATTACATAGACTCAAATGGAGCTTTTCACACGGGACGCGCGAGTGATACAGTATGCGAGATACCGAATGCATATGCCAGATACAGAAGAAACATTACGTTAAATAAACGCTTTCAGACACAAATTCTGTATCTCGCATACAGTATCTCAGATACAGTATCCTCATCTGAAAGGGGTCTAAAATGACTAGCGCATACACGAAAATTGTTATAAATAGTTTCTGTTGCAGCATTCTCTAATTAGGGCTTTTAACAGCATTCACCCATTTATCAAACATATCCATATTATAATCTCCTGGACTTGAAAAACGGTATTGCTTGCCAGTGGTAGTGTGCTTGCCTAGTATCCATGCAATCTGGAATACATCTTTTTTGTTCAGTTCTTCGTCACTATATTGTTATTCCATGTAATGTGTTCGATTCCATAATAAAAAATCGTCTAAAATTTTACCTTTTTGCACTACTTATATAAAAAAATTTAAACTATAAAATAAATTATAAAAAATAAAACAAATAAAATTATGGCGCCGTATTTGTCTAAATTCAACTTTTGATTTGACCACAGCACACTCCCTACGCGTAGAAACGAGACTAGCAGCGCCACCAAACGAATGGGCGCCTAAATCCGAACGTGATTTGACATTGCCTATCCCTGTTACCAATCTATAAATTTTATCTATGATCATTTATAAATGTTATTTAGAATAATATGGCCTACAGCAGATATACTTAGCATCATGCTCGGGTATCTCTTATGGGAGTGACAGTCCTCTAAAATTTGTATTTCCTAAGGACACCAGAGGGCGTAGCATTCGTAGCAAAGCTTTGTGACTGTGCAAGACCGCAACCAACACAACAAGTACGCCATTTTTATTGTGGTTTCGACGATTCGACAGTGTGGTGTGTGTGACAGTGTTTCCAGTTGCGATTAAATAATTGTTTGTTTTTTGCCATCGTATTTAAATAATTATGGTTTTTAACTGTTGTGTTAATGGTTGTAATAATTACAACCTTATTATTATTGGCTTATATGGACAATGGTTAGTTATATTATTTTTTTTTTGTAAAAAATATTGTTATAACCTTAAAAACATCTAACATTTAATACATTATCTACGGTGGAAGTTTAAACATTTTCAGTGTGTACAGTGTGTCAACGCCTGTGTATTATATAATACACAGGCGTTGTTATAGGGCATTTTCTTTAAAATCATACTCATGCAAAACTTTAAATGCGATTACCCTACATTTTGGATTTGTACCTATACGTTACTAAGGGTGCGATATTATAAATTCAAGTCATTAGATCAATAAACATCAAAATGAGATTTTTTAGCAGTATGCCGACGATATTAATAGCAAAATTTTTGATAATGTATTAGATATAATTTATAGAAACTACAGAATAGCCACTGTTTAACCAACTACATTTAAATACATGTAATTAATGTTTATAAAAAAAATAAAATAGAAAAAGAACCAACGTTTGTTTTATTTTTGTAGTCAAACCCAAACCCTCAAAATTAATCTTTATATTTGAAGAATTACGAGATTTTTTAAAAAGATGTTGCTTTCCTAAGGCCGCCAGATGGCGCATTGTCCAGAAATACCCTACACAGTTTCCTATCTATCCGGTAATATATATTCTTTATCTATGCTTAGCATGTTTTTACATTTTTAATATGGTTTTCTGTACTGGCGAAGAAAGAAATTTCTCTGTAAGTTTAGAAAATCACGGATAGATGACGCTTACAATAAATAACTAATAAATATGTTTGAAAATGAAAACACAAGATGTACCTACCGTACGAAAATATACTTGATAAACCGTAATTCTTTTAAAAGAATAGAAGAATTAATAATTATTTCTGCCATTTGCTTTAACGCAGTACCTGTAAAGTTCTTTCTAGTGACTTCTATCAATATTTATTTTCTTGTTTTAGTACAATATCTCGCGGATAGATGTCAGTTAATGTGTGTCAACGTATTTCCATTATATATATTATCGTTGATTGAATAACCCAACGATATTATATTGTAAAACCATTGGATAAACTCACGCTTGTAAAATTCCCCCGGAAAGCAATTAAATTTCGTTTATAGGTTTAACTTTATGCTCTCCTTACGTAATCATATTATGCTAGTAGAATTAATATTGCCTACAACATATATTCTTACAATTAATAATAAGTACAGGTGTTTCTTACCTACATTTTTAATAAATTAAATAAAATGCCTACATTGCCAATATATCTTAAAAAAACTCTTTATAAATTCAAATAAAAAAGACATTCTACATCTTTACATAATTCCAGTTTATTAAGTACAATGTTGTGAGATAACTGTTTATTTTTTACATTTTATATTTTCATACCAACTTCTCAGTTGCCATCTATTTGTTGTTTTTTAAACTATAATCGGACATTGTAGTTTTCTGTGCTGGTAACCTATATTACAGTTTTCTGTACCGATGAACTATATTAAAGTTTTCTGTACCTGTGAAGGAAGAACTTTATACGTAAGTATAACAAATAATGAATAGATGGCAACTCTAATAATTAACTGAGAAGTAGGTATTAGAATATAAAATGTATAACACAATAATGTCCTTAATTGTCTGCAATTATATTATAAAGATGTAGAAAGTCTATTTTTATTTAATTTAATTTTTACAAGAGAGTTTATATAATTAGGATTTAGTAAAAATTTTAAAGTATAAAATATACTAAAAATCTCGATGTTGCTGTCATCTATGGAGAGAATACATTAAATAGAAATATCTTTATTGTAGCTGGAATGTCATTTAGGTGATAAAATCAAATGCTACTAGGTAGCGAACACTGTTTATTGTTTCGGGAAAATAAGAATCAAAATAAAGATTTATTTTTATTATAAAGACAACTGTGGGTACGTAGATTTTTGTATAAAAATTACTATAAATATCTTTAAGTATGTGTTTAAGTTAAATTATACAGGACGTTCTTGTTGATATTTTTATTTTATTTTTTTCAGGGGCGTAGCGTGAAAAATTTTAAACTGGATGCAATAAATTCGATAAGAAGTAAAAGGCACGCGGAGGGTAAATATATTAAATACCATTAAGTTTGGTAAACCATACAAAAAATATATAGAAATAGAAATGAAGTACCTATCACCGATAATTTTTTAATATAAATAAAATAATAATTAAAACATTAAAACATAAATATAATAATTAAAACACCGAGTTTTAACCCTTAAGTACCTCTTTTTGAAGTTCTACTTCTATACGCACGGTCGGCGTTGGAAATTTGCATGAGAATGAATCTGTGAAAACATTACATATGTAAGATAATGAGTAAGAGAGAGACAGAAGATATATTTTCTCTCTCTTCCTCTCTCGAGAATAAAAATGTTCCTTTTGTATATATTTAATATTATATAAATTGTATATATAATATTGTTTATATAATATTATATATATATATATATATATATATATATATATATATATATATATATATATATATATATATAATATAATATAATATAATATGTATTAATATTATTATTTATGTGATATGTTTTATATTATTTATTAAACGTTTATAATTATTTTATGCTCTTGTATTTCAAAATAATCACTGTTTGACCGAGAATTGTCAATTTTGAAATCCGTTAGTATCATGTCTAGCTGGCAAATCCTTTGCGTGTTTGGTTCATATGCTGTGGTTGTGAGTTCAAATCCAATTATGAATTTCCTTTTTTTATTTTTTAAATATTTAAAAACCTCACGTTAATAGTATTAAGTATATGTAATATACGCAAAAATACTAAATTTTAAAATAAAATGAAAATTTACAATATAATCCGAGTTGTTGGTTTTTTATTTTTATCTTTGTAAAGTAAGTTATGTATATTGGCAGTTTTAAATACTTATGAATATTACATTTTAATTTATATTGTATTATTATATTGAATGATATTGACAATTGAAAATAAACAATGAATTTTACTGCAGAGTATTTGTAACATTTTTTTTGCATTCAACAACTCCTTTTATACAAATATAAAAATAAAAATATATATTTTGATTAAAATATTGATACAATCCTTCATTTACTATACTCCTATTACAGGTCAAATGTTTATATACAGCAAACGATGCACCATATACCTATATAACTAATTTTTTTCTCTTTCTGCTCTCTTTTACCTGTAGCATTACATATGTAATGATTGTGCAGATTGACTCCCATATAAATTTTTAACGGAGAACGCGTGTATAGAAGTATAACTTCTACCGGCAGCCACACTGGACTGCCACACCCGTTTTTTTAATTATATACATTCCTATCCTTATGATTTATGTAAAATTCCTTCAATTTTTAATACAGTTTATAAGCTACAGCTACTTAAATATATTTTAATTTATAAATTTTACCATAGTCTTATTTTTAACCCATTCATTACATTTTTGTTTTTCAGGAAAATATGAATAACCTTTTGCATCTCTTACTACTACTCTATAGTAGTATGTATGGATTTCTTAAAGGAGAACCTAACTTTATACTGCTCATAACAGACGATCAAGATTTATTACTAGATGGGATGGTACGATTGTGGGATTACCCTGAGTGTCTTACTTTTATTGTTTTTTTTTTTTCTTGTAGGTTCCCATGAAAAAAACTGTTGAGTTGATAGCCAATAACGGGAAAACATTCCAAAACGCTGTAAGAATTTTAGTAGAAGCGAGACACATTTTAGGCTCATTTACTAATTGCAGTTAACTTACAGTAGCTACATGAGAGTCTAGGAAGCATGATAGCTTTGAATATTTAATTATTTAAAATTTTTATAATAAGTCCTGCCATAAATACAAATATTTACCTTAAAACAAAATAAACCACTGCGTTGATTTGAAAAAGTTTTACACACTTGATTATTAATATAATAAACTACAAAAAAAGTATTTAAAATGGCTACCATTTGTCTAAGTTTAGCACCGAAGTATAGATAGTGACGACTATTGGATAATAGTTGAACTAGAATGGTCAAAGGTCCAAGTGCGCTCAAGTGCCTTACTTTCTACTAGCTTTCTGATAATTTTAATTGTGATATTTCGATGATTAAATTTCACTATATTATATTTAGAAGCTACCTAGATAACTCATGCTAATCAAACATTTGGTTATGGTACTTTTAATACTAGATTTTTTAACATATTACAATTATTGTTTTAGTACGTAAATACACCAATTTGCTGTCCAAGTAGAAGCACTATTCTTACTGGAAAGTACTTAGAGAATACAGGTGTCGTGAACAATTCGATATCTGGGAATTGTTCAAGTCTAGCATGGCAACAGACACATGAGCCACACAGCATAGCAGCTCTATTAAAAAACGCAAAAAACTATACAACCTATTACTCGGGAAAATATTTAAATCAGGTAAGTGGTATATATTTTGTTATAAAAGTACGCGAAAAATAATTTCCTAAATTTTTATTTACATTATTACGATTTTCACACACTTTCTGAACCATTAAACTCAATTAAAGGTTAAAAACTTGTTGCAATTTGCTGCAGAACTTTTTTTTTTTTTTTTTTTTTTTTTTTATTTAGAATTTCCGCATCAACCATTAAAGGTTATTAGCGGGTTTTACAGATTTTACAGTTGTTATTACAAATTGTTATTACAAATTACACATAATAAATTACAAATTACAAAGAGATACATATAACTTAAATTTTGTGTAGTAAACGTATGTCCTTAAGGAATTTGATTGTATTAGATACATTACTGTTTAAAATATCTTTAAGTTTCTTTGCTTCTTCTGGTACGTTGTTGATGGCTCTTTCGTAGGAATAAAGAGGACATTCAATCAATACATGTTGAACAGTTATTGGACATTCACAATAGGAACATTCAGGTGGTAGTTCTTTTGTTATGAGATGCTGGTGAGTTAAAGCTGTGTGTCCAATTCTTAGTCGGTTTATAATCACTTGTTGCCTTCTGTTTTCTGGAAATTGTAGTTTAGTGCCAATCCTAGTTTTCACGTTTTTAAGGTTAGCCTTAGTAGAATTCCACATTTGTTGCCAATTTTTTATACAGTGCTGTTTAATATTGAGCTGGATATCACTGAATGGAGTTGTAGTCATAATTTCAGTTTGCTCGTCAGTAGCAGCTTTCTTTGCTAATTCATCTACTTTTTCATTTCCTGCGATACCTGTATGTGATGGTACCCAGAGAAATGTAACGTTAACGTGTCTGTTTTGTAGGTGATAAAGTGCTAATTGTATTTGTTGCAGGATAGCATGTACTGGATATATTTGCCTTAAGCTCTGAAGAACAGAACTCTGCTGCAGAACTTATTTTGCCCATTAAACAACTTATCTTTATACGTAATTACATGACAATATCATAACAAGATACTATGATGTATATGGTAGCTGATCGTGGATATGCTATACAAAAAGTGACAGAAAGTGATAGTGGTCGTTTTTGTTTAAGGCACCAAAAAAGATTTTTGTAGCTTTTTGGCCGTTTTTGTAGCTTACCACTCGAGAAGTGGGAAATATCAGGACAATTCGCTGGTTATCCATGTAGGAGTTTGTATCTACCCACACTCTGTCTAAAGACGTTACTGTCCCGCAAGCAGTGGTAAGAATACTTCTGAGGACAGATATCCTTGCCCGTCGTAAGAGGCGACCAATGTAAAGGAATAAGAAGTGAAAAGCCGTCGTTCGAGATGTCGGGTTTGTAAAAACGAACGCAGGGTGCTTCGTAGTCAACGGTCTACACTCCTAGTACCCGGAACGAGCCTCTCGTGGGGCCACTCTACTTTCATTCCACAGAACCAAAGTGAGGTTGAACGAACTGCGAACCTTATACGTCCTTTCCTCATTAAGGGCGTATAATTGCAATATATACCCACTATTAATAAGTGAAGAAGAGGAGAGGAGATCTCCTCGGCGGTCACTTGTCTACGTGCGAGGACTGCGAGGTCGAGTTCCACTACCTGTGCTGTCCCCTTACTCCGCCATGGATAGTGGGGTGATCACGGACGGGGGTTCCCCGCGATGCTTCGTGGAAAGTGCCGCACTCAAATATTGTAGGACTCATAGGGGTTAGTGGCTAGCAAAGGTCGTATGGCGAAAGTCCAGGAAGACCTGGGTCCCGCTGATATTCATTATCATAGGAACATGAATTTTTTCATGTCTGAAGACGTTAGGAATACGGAAATACCGTTATAACAGTCTATTCATACTAATTCGTACACGAAAGGTTTGAAGAATAATTGTGCTCCTTTCGCTGTATATTTTATAATATATATTCGGCGTTTCAAAGCCAAAGTTCTTACTGTATTTAAAATATTTGTTTTTCAAATTGTTTAAAATCTTTCTGTGTGGAACAATTTTTATTAAGAAAAATAAACGTTTTACTAAAAAATCTTGAAAATGTGTAGTATGATTACGGCGCGCGGCGCCGTGGCTTAGTTGGTTAAAGCACTTATTAGTAAACAGGAGATCATGAGTTCGAATCTCGTTGGGGAATCTTTTTTTTTTCTAATTTCTAAATAAAAATCAATATTGTCACAAAAAGTTCCTCCACGGCGGGGAATCGAACCCCGGTCTCCCGCGTGACAGGCGGGGATACTGACCACTATACTACCGAGGAATATTTTTAAAATCCACAAGGAATCTAAGTTCCTGTAGTTGGCTGTATACCATTATCACAAAAAATTTTATTAAAAATCCTTTATAGAAGGTACATAATTTAAAAACCCAATCAGGCTATATCATAAAACGTTTTTGGAATCCACATTCCATCATCAGTGTCTAGGTGTGTACATCTATTAGGCCACTAAATATCTGGGTAAAAACTCGTTTAAAATTGTTTGTTTAGATTTAGTTCACATTATATGGTATTAAATATTATGATGTAAGTTACCAGTGAATTTGGTAACATGGTTCTGAGACGATGTGTCTACGAGGACTTATGAAAGCAACTTGAGTTGAGAAAGCTGTTTAAAAAAATATTATTTAAGAATCCTCGGGACATAAAATCGGATCAAATCTGAATATTTTGAGGCTTTCCGTATTATTTTTATGTGTATTATACATTTGCGAATATATGTTCGTGTACTATGCTTCAGTGGCGCACTCAGAATTTGTCTAAGGAGGGCGTTTTGAATTTTTTTTATGCTATCTCCATTTTGACTCCCTAAAATTTGGGTTTTAGTTTAATTTAAAGTACTAAAGATAGCAGTGCCAAAGATTCAGATATCTATTATCCTGCCTTTCAACGAAAACCACCCTCTCTTACTTGTGCGCCGTTGACTGTCACTGTCATCTGTTCGGTTGCAATAATATGCAAATTAGGGCCATACCTAAGGTTACTAAAAATAAACAGGTTGTCTGGTAACTTTACACCAATCAGCATCGAGAATCTAAGGGTCGGAATGACGTCACTGAGAATGCTACATTCAAATTCATTCACTTAACTCCTTGAAATGAACTCGGAAAGCAGAAATGATTGTAATTGTAAAAATATTAATCTGTGTAGATTGAAAAAAATACGTATGACCTTTAATAACTATTTATTTCATTCAATCTTTAAAAAATGTGGGAGATAAGTACCTGCAAAGTTACAAAAATCATAAAATATTATTGCAGCTAAACATATGTACCTAGTAGAATAGCATTACTATATTAAATTGTAAGTTGATTCTTTCTTGTGTATACATGTGACTAAAACATGTTAATATACTATATTAATAATGGGTTGAATAAAATTTACTTTTTTTAATTATTTTGAATTGACGATAATGCATATAGTGGATTATCATAAATTCCTCTAAACAAGTAAACCATGCTGAAAAGAAGATTCAACTTAAGATTTATATATCAGAATTATTAGTTTTTCCCTTAACTTCAATAAATTTAAGGAACATCTGATTACATTACTGGATTATATAATACATTACATTACATTTTTTGGAAATGTAAAAAACATTAAATTCCTTCCATCCTTTTTGGAATTTTTTGAATTATTTTTGCAGATTGCTACACTACAAATATTTCCACCAGTCTGGTTGGAAATATTGGAATGTATCTTGTAACACTTGTATAAGAGTTTTGAGTCCAACTAAAAATCACTTAATAATATCTATAAACATGTTATATCTCAAGATATTAACATAAACTAAAGCACTAACGATATTTAACAACAAAATATATTCTCCAAACCACTTCTCCTATTTTATTTTCAAACAATTCGTAAATTTGACCCCCTGGGTGAAGTCACACGTCATATTTCATTCTGTCAATGTCAGAGTTACCATGCAACCTCCCTTTTACTAACGTTAGGCCATACCAATCGATGGTACCGATAAATTTTAAGTTTCTTCTTAAGGCATTTTTGCTTATCTTGTTGAACATTTAAGCGGAAGAATTTTATTAGAAAGAGAAAACCACTAATAAATGTATTCCTCGGTAGTATAGTGGTCAGTATCCCCGCCTGTCACGCGGGAGACCGGGGTTCGATTCCCCGCCGTGGAGGTACTTTTTTGTGGGAATAAGATTTTTACTTCGAAATAAATAAGAAAAAGGTTGAGGCCCCGGCGAGATTCGAACTCACGATCTCCTGTTTACTAGACAGGCGCTTTAACCAACTAAGCCACGGCGCCGTTACATACATTTGTAATACATATTTTCAAGATTTTTATAGTAGGGATGGAAAGGGCACTGTTAAACTTTTTTTCCTTTTAAATGTGTCATGACTTGCTTTGCCTAAAATTATTTTTTTTTATTATGTGTTTATTATATGTTTAATATTATCTACAAAACTAAACAAGAAATTATCTGAACATACAAAAATATTAACTTTACGTATCGTAAGAAAAATGTTCAAAAGTGCCCCAAATAGGGGTAGCTTTGAATTAAGAAGAGGCGCATTTAAATGACCTAAAAATACTTTGAAATCAAACCTAAAAATACAGTTTTATTATTGAAAGGAGACAATTATTAAATACATAAACGTGAAAAAACACAATAAATAAATCTTGCACGTGATGTGCAAGTGTTTTACTTTGAAACATGGTATAAGTGCCTAAGTTATAGACATTCAAACAAGGAACTATTAATTTTTATTTTACATTGTAATTTTTTATCAAATTTTAAAAAGAAATAACTGATTGCGTTCTGCAAGTGCTATAATTTGAATTATTTATAGGATGTAATTTTAAAACTATATCTTCATTGTTGAAAGTTGAATTTGTCCCTTTACCCTTAATTTTTTTCAAAAATTTAACTTAAAACGCTGAATCCACAGCAAATATTTCAGTAATATATCCCACATAATAATTACATAGCATTTTTGTAACAAATTTCACTAAAATATAATCATTCTGTTCATATTTGGCAATTTCTTTAAGTCCTCCGATTCATATGAACTGTCATAAACGATATCTTCATCGGATTCCGCAGTTTCACTCTGTGGTAGCTCCGCATTCTTTTTAGTAGTAGGAGTAGTCTTCCAAATGTTTCTTTTCATCTTACTTGCTTGCAACTTCTGTTGTTTTTGTTCTCTTGCTAAAGTTTCTTCTTCAATTTTGTTTTTTCCCGGCGTTTCAGTTAAAAATCTAGATTTAACCTTTTTTCGTGCTCTATTATTTTTCCTCAGGGCAGCCTTTGGGAAAGGTCGTACAATTTCAAGTGTTATTGGGGTTAATGTAGATGAAACAATTTTAATTTCAGGTGCTACTGTTGTTGATGTACATAGAACAACTTCAATTTCATGTGCTATTGGGGTTGATGTAAATAGAACAGCTTCTGTTGAGTTGTTTACATTATATCCTGGTGGTGGCTGGTTAGTAACAAAAGTACAGTAAAAATCGTCATCCAAAAATACAAGAAAAATGAAGATGATAAATGAAGAAGTGTATGCAGCGCTTATTAAAGATGCAGCAAATAATATTCTAGGGCCAGAAAGACCACCACCAGGTAATGACTGGTTTGATGCTGAATGTGAGGACATTACAAGAAGAAAGAACAATGCTTATAAACTGATGCAGCAAAGAAGAACGCGAGAAAAACAGCAAAAATATAAAGATCTCAGAAAAGAAGAGAAGTCCATTCATAGAAGAACAAAGCGAACTCACGAAAATAGAATATTGGAAGAACTTAAGGAATTAAAAAAGGAAAACCAAACAAGAAAATTCTACAAAACTCTGAATAATGCAAGAAAGGAATTTAAACCAAGGCTCAGACTATGTAAAGATAAGGAGGGGCATATACTAAATACAAAAGAAGAAGTACTGAAAAGGTGGGTGGAACACTTTAAAGAACTACTTACTATAGAAGTAGAAGATCCAAATCCAAATCAACCACCCACAGGAGCAAGCAACAATTCACCATTAGAGCCTCCGTCAATTCAAGAAGTACGAGATGCAATAAAATACCTAAAAAACAATAAATCTCTAGGAAGTGATGGTATACCCGCGGAACTTATTAAATGTGAAGGTGCTACTATGACTAATCAAATATATAAAATAATACTGAAAGCCTGGAATGAGGAAAAAATCCCGGAAGAGTGGTGTAGTGGAATTATTTGCCCGCTACACAAAAAGGGTGACCAATTGGAATGTAGAAACTATAGGGGAATAACCCTCATTAATACAGCATACAAAATATTTTCGAGGATCTAATATGGTCGTCTAAGTGCATATTCAGAGGAACTTCTTGGGGAATATCAAAGTGGCTTTAGGCCTGGTCGATCAACAACAGATCAGATCTTTGTGCTAAGGCAACTACTGGAAAAAACCAATGAATTTAATATCGATACATACCATCTTTTTGTAGACTTCAAATCTGCCTATGATAGTGTCCTGAGAAATAAATTGTATGAAGCCATGAATGAATTCCACATCCCCGATAAACTGATAAGATTGGTTAAGGCTACAATGCGTAATGTGGTTTGCAAAGTCGAAATATAGGGCGAACAATCACAGGCGTTTGGAACACATGTTGTGCTCCGACAGGGAGACGCGCTGGCGTGTCTCCTTTTCAACATAGCACTGGAAAAGGCGATCAGAGATGCCCGAATAGACAACAGAGGAAATGTTTTTAATAAATCATCCCAAATTTTGGCATATGCAGATGATGTGGTCCTATTTGCCCGTACAACACGCAAGCTAGAAAAATGTATATCACCTTCTCAAATACCTCAAAATCAATGGGCCTGCAAGTAAATGAGGAGAAAACTAAGATGATGGCATTAACACCCAACAATAGAGTCAGGAACATCGGTCCCCAATTCACGGTTGATAACTCTACCTTTGAAGTGGTGGACAAATTCACATACTTAGGCTCCCTGATCACCAAAGAAAACGCCATAATGGAAGAAATCAAGCGAAGGATAATAATGGAAAGCAGATGCTATTTTGGACTGAGTAGACATATGAGAAGTAGAAACTTAAGCCAAAAAACAAAAATAACCATATACAAACCCTTATACAGCCAGTGTTGACATATGGATCGGAGACATGAACCATCTCCAAGGCAGACGAAGACCTTCTGCTTATATTTGAACGAAGGATCCTGAGAGGAATATTTGGTGGCATCTGTGAAAATGGTGTTTGGAGGATGAGATACAACTACGAGGTATACCACAGATATAAACAAATATTTGGTGGTAAAGACGTAACATCTCTTATAAGAATAGAAGACTAAGATGGGCAGGACATCTAGCAAGATCACAGCAGAACAACCCTCCTAGAAGAATCCTTATGTCACAACCCGTGGAAAGCAGAAAAAGGGGTAGGCCACAACTCAGATGAAAGGATGGTGTAGATGAAGATGGTAGAAAGATAGGCGCAGCAAACTGGCAACGGTTGGCAATGGATAGGACTGCCTGGCGTAATAGACTTGGGAAGGTCGAGGCTCTTTCATAGGGCTGTAGCACCATTGATGATGATGGTATGCAGCGCTTGTAATAGCTCCTAAGTTATGTATGGTAATTGCTCCTTGATAGACCTATTGGTCAAAGAAGAAGAGGAAGAACCAGAACAAAATTCCTAGATAACATAGAGCAAGATATGAGAAATATTGAAATACGTGCTTGGCGGAGGAAGGCGATGGGTAGGGACGACTGGAAGAGAATTCTTGGGGAGGCTAGGACCCACACAGGGTTGTAAAGCCAAAATGATGATGATGATACTTTTAATATACTCTAAAGTTTTTAAATAAAATGAACGGTTCTTAATTTATATAAATATATTTATTTATAAGTTTACAGTACGGTAATATTTTATCAACTCAACATTGCTAATATTGGAGCTACTTATATATAAAAGTTATTATGTACTAGAATATTCTGGAGTAGTCCACCTTTAATTCGTTTGTTTGACGGGTCGATCTCTCCCGATACATGTTCATAACAATACTAATAGTCCATTGAAAGTATCATTATTATATATTTTATTGAGTATAAATTGACTTTACTAAATATATTCTATTTGAACTTTTCAGTATGGCACCAGAGAAGCAGGTGGCGTCAAACATATTCCTGTTGGGTACGATTGGTGGATTGGCCTTCAAGGAAATTCAAAATATTACAATTACACCTTATCTGTAAATGGAACAGGTCATTTTTTTAGTAACAAATACTTGACAGATGCTCTGGCGGGTTATTCGTTGTCCTTTTTAACTAACAAACCAAACGATAAACCTTTTTTTATGATTGTTGCTCCGCCTGCACCACACGCTCCTTTCACTCCTGCGAAAAGACACGAAAACGCTTTTGCTGGAACTAAAGCTGTAAGAACCCCTTCATTTAATCATTCAGGATATGATGTAAGTTATAGTATCTACAAAGATGTTAAATAATGTGTATTTTACTTTAAAACTTTAAAATATCAAGATAAGTGATAAGAAAACTTTAGAATAAAGGCTACAAAAAAAGTTATATTCTTTTCGATATCATATTTTTTCACAACTAATCTTACATTTTCCATCTTAAGCTCTTGATTTTTTATCTTTTATTTCAACTTTTCATTATTCATCTATGTTTTATAGACCTTACAAAGACTTTTGACCGCATGTAAGTCCAAGACGTCTTACACCTACACCCTTGGAAATTGAAGAAATACATAAAAACATATAAGACTCAGCGTCCATTAATTTTTTTTTAACAAAGAATTTCCAACATTGGACAAAATCCAAACATTAATTAGATAAAACGAAGAGTTAGCAATCATAAGCAACAAGAAATTATGGGGACTATTGAGAGAGATGGGATTTCGTTGGCAAAAGAATAGAAGAAAATCCGTTTTAATTGAAAAAGATTACATTGTATGTTGGAGACGAGATTATCTAAGAACTATTAAAAAGTACCGAGAAAAAAGGAAAACAATTTTTAATTTGGACGAGACTTGGCTAAATGAAGGTCATACTGTACCATATCTATGGGTTGATACAATTGTGAAAAGTTCCCGTCAGGCATTCATCGAAAATGTATCTACTGGAATAAACAATATTCCCATTGGAAAAGGACGCAGACTCATAATAACCCATAGTGGAAACGAATACGGTTTTGTCAATGGTGGATTATTAAGTTTGGCCTCAAAATCAACCAAAGATTACCACGAGGAAATGGCTGCTGACGTTTTTGAAGAATGTTTTGAGCAAATGTTGGATTTAAGTCTAAAAAATTTTCTCATAGTCATGGATAATGACTAGCATGTCTAGTTACCATTCAAGACTAGCAGAAAAATTGCCAACAGCGGCATGGAAAAAAGGAGAGATAATCGAATGGTTGAATAAACACGCAATTGAGTACAAGAAGAATTCGACAAAAAAGAAATTATTACCTATTGTAAGGCAACATAAAGCAGCTTATAAAAAATATATAATTGATGAAATGGCATTAAACCATGATGTAATTATTTTACATTTACCCCCATACCACTGTGATCTGAATCCGATAGAAAATATATGGTCTCAAGTAAAGGGTGACGCAACAAAAAAACTTTTAAATTAGTAGACTTACAACAATTATTAGAACATTAGTTATCAAAAGTAACTCCAGAAAATTGGAAAAATGCTGTTAGTCATGCTCACAAGGAAGAAAATAAAATGTGAAATTTGGATAATATATTATGACTGATGCAATGCTGGAACCGGTAATAATTAACATTAAAGTTGAAGATTTCTTAGATTCTGAAGAAAGCAGTGAATCTGAAATGGAATTTGATTAAAATAATATTCATTTTTTTTACAAATCGGCCCCTGTTACGGCCACAAATTATTTTATCTTTAACCAATAAAATAAATATCTTACATTTCTTGCAAATTCATTAGTACCTGTTAATCTCCATCAGTCCGACACCGGCAACTTTATTTAGGGATTTGTAACCCTCAAAACTATTGTATTCTATTATTCTGCTTCAACCTTTATACCTGGTGGTCATACTCAATTTAAAATTGTTTTCCTATATACTTCTGTAAACTTGTTGACAAATATCTGTTTTTCATTGAGTCACCCGTATTAACAGTTTAGGGATTTGCATACATAACGTACTATCAATATGATGGAAATGGACTATAGTTACGAGCGACGCATTTGTAAAAAATATTTGCGGTAATTGTTTACATTAGTAAGGGTCCCTAAAAATGCGAATTTTTAGGGGACTTAGCCTGAAAAATGAAAAAAAGGCAAAATTTTCATGTTTCCGTCTACGGAAACATACAAAAAGTAAAAAAATGTAAAAAAATTGAAAAAATTTCATAAAAACTATAGAAAATCAAAAATTAGCAAGAGAAAAATATTATCGAAATACGAAATAGCCGTAAAAGTTATATAAAATTTATAAATCAATTGTAAATACCAATCATTTTCTCCGTTAAATTATCCAAAAATATAAAATATTGTAAAATGGCCAAAATTCATTTATTTGGAAGAACAAGTCAAGCGCGTTTGCGCACAACATAAGATATTCCACGCTGGTTCAATGTTGCCACATATAGATTTGTTTTTTTTTCGGAGTAAATATATTGAATTTAAATTTAATAAGAGTATACTCTATATGACTTATTATTGTTTTTATTTGCAGAGTAAATATATTGAATTTAAGTTTTAATAAGAGTATAGTACATATGATTTAACATTGTTTTTTAAAAGTGTACCACATATGATTTAATATTTTTTTTTTGCGGTGTAACTATATTGAATTTAAGTTTTAATAAGAATATATGTCCATATAAATTAGTGATTAGTGTTTTTGCAAAACTCGATATTGACTATTAAATAACATAATAAAACCAAATCCAAACTAATCCAATTATTATTAAATTTATTTCAAAATTATTATTAATTATTAAAATTGTTTCAAATTAACTACATTATTAATCTCTAAAAATTTAAATTACAGTTTTGTCGTATCTTGTCACAAATTTCTCAATTCGAGTCTATGGTTCCGTTTAAAACATGGCGATAGCGTGCTGAAAAACTTTAAAGGCGGCATTTGAAAGTGAGCATTATGATTGTTTCTTATTCTGTGGTTAAACACGCTACGGCGTACTTTAAATAAGCAAAATGGAGTACCAATAAAAAAACAAATTAAAACCTAATCTACTCATATCATCTAACAATTTAAACTAATAAAGAAGTTGATAACTAATGCATCCCATGAATGCATCCAACTAAATACAACATAAAACGAAATAAGCTATAATCTATACGTAATAACATCAGTTAATAACAAATGAAATACAGTTATATGTATCCCTTAGAAACAGAAAATGGAAATAATAGGTACTCATTATCATTATTCCTTTATGATTGTATTTGAGAATTAATATTTTCACAATAAACAATATATTTGAAAAGTGTGGCAACATTGGATCAAGAAGTATGTACTACGCATACGCACATCATTGACAACAGCTGTAATGGCGGCGGCATCTTAAAATTTATGTCAAAATATCAGTTTTTTAAATGCGAATTACAGAAAAACTATAGCTCAGCGTAAAAAAATGTGTAGATTGAAAAGTGAATAAAAAATAAAACATAATCCACTGTCCAATTTTTAGATTAATCCGACTATCCTTACTAATGTAAGTAATTACCACTTACCCTCTAAATTAATAAAAATTTCTAATTTACTATTTAAAATAAAATTATTCCAAAACAAGTAACTGCTTATATGATTCGTCCAAATCACAACCAGTTCGATAACATCCAAAACTTGCTATTAGTGTAGCTATTAGTCCAATAAATTTGGGACAGGTTTTTCATTCGCCTTATCAGTGAAACTAGTTTTAAATTCTTACATTTTTATTGGTGAATCGATAATTTTGGGTACGACTTTATGGTATTAGTTAGACCACTAACGAATAAGTAGCCACTGAATGTATTGTTTTTTGAAGGTGTGTGAGAAGCGCTGAAATATTATTTGATAAAACAGTAAACCAATAAAAGACGAACCTGTTTATCAGTAAAACTAGTTTTAAGTTCTTATATTTTTATTGGTGAATGAATAATGTGGGGTATTTTTTTATACGACTGTGTGTTACTAGTCATACCACTAACGAATAGCTGTTGAATGTATTCTATTTTAGAGGTGTGTAAGTAAAGCGGAAATATTATTTGATAAACCGGTAAACCAATAAAAAACGAACGTTCCTTTAAGAGGTGTGACTTATTTGTATTTAGAAAATTATAGACAATGATTAAAAACAAGTTAAGTACTTAAAATTAAGTGTTATTTAAGAAATTAAATTAAGACTTAAAAAAATGTTATATTATATTTCCTTCGAATAAAATAGCGTTAAAATAAATAATTTTTCATAGATGTACTAAGAACCACGAAGATATTTTTATGTTTCTCATGACTGAGTTTTATTCCTCTATTTCTCATGTTTTAACATTGTTTATGCTTTTGCCTCTTCAAGGAGCGCTGCTTCTTTTTTTGGGCTATAGGGGTGTGATGAACTTCAAAATGATTTTACGTATTGGTTTTTGAAGGTAAAACGCTAAAGCACTGGGGTTAAGAACGTGGAATTTATGTTAAGGAGCGCACTAGAGGAATTTTTGGGTCAGCCAGATAAGTCGAGAGGTACTTCAACTCCAGTACTAATAGGCCAGGGAAATACGCAAAAAAAGTACCCTGTTTTTGACACTCGTCCGGCCAGGCAAACGACAGTTGTTTTGAGTAGTGTGGACATCTGTAATAAACACCTATATGTTTCCTGCAGTCAATTTTTTGGACTAAATTAGTTATTAACAAATTAAGTTCAAAAAACGGAAAATTTTTGCTTTTTTCGGCTATCAGCAAAAAGTGAAGCAATTTAAACAAATTTTAGAAGAGAGGAAACTTATATGTTATATAAAAACCTTCAAAACGGCGTTTTCAAAATGTTTCTAACCTTATTTGTTGCTTAGAAAGTTGCAAAATAAATCAAAAATTTTGGTTTTTTATAAATGGTAATAACTTTTTTGAAAATAAACGTATAATATTTATATTTCATGGAATGATGTGTCTTGTTGTGCTTAAAATAGGGTTAAAATTTCAAAGTGATCGGTCCAATAGTTTAAAATTTATTATATTTGTTTATCCCAAATTAACATTTTTTGCAACAATATAAGTCAGAAATTTATACAGTTTTAGAAATTGTAAGGGTTGTTTCTGGTAGAAGAAGACTTGTTTTATTATTTACATTAAAAAAAATAAGAAAATTAATTTTAAATATTGCAAAATAATTTTGCAAAAACATGTCGATTTTTTTGCTTATAAACAATTAGAATAACTTTTTAACCATTGACTGTAAAAATATTATTTTTACATATTTAAGAA